GGGAATGAGGGGGAAATACTGGGAATGAGGGGGAATACTGGGAATGAGGGGGGAACACCGGGAATGAGGGAACACCAGGAATGAGGGGGGAACACCAGGAATGGGGGAATACTGGGAATGGGGGGGGAACACTGGGAATGAGAAGGAAATACTGGGAATGAGGGGGGAATACCAGGAATGAGGGGGAAATACTGGGAATGAGGGGAAATACTGGGAATGAGGGGAAATACTGGGAATGAGGGGGGAACACTGGGGATGGGGGGGGAACACTGGGAATGAGGGAACACTGGGAATGAGAGGGAAATACTGGGAAGGAGGGGAGAACACCAGGGAATGGTGGGAATACTGAGAAGGTTGGGAATGGTGGGAACACCAGGAATGGCGGGAATGGTGGTGGGAACACCAGGAAGGTTGGGAATGGTGGTGGGAAGAGCGGGAAGGTTGGGAATGGCAGTGGGAACACCGGGAACATTTGGAATGGCAGGAACAGCAGTGGGAATGTTGGGAATGGTGGTGGGAAGAGCAGGAAGGTTGGGAATGGTGGTGGGAGCACCAGGAATGGTGGGAACACTGGGAATGGCAGGAATGGTGGTGGGAGCACCAGGAAGGTTGGGAATGGCAGTGGGACCACCGGGAATGCTGGGAATGGCAGTGGGAAGAGTGGGAATGTTGGGAATGGTGGTGGGAACAGCAGGAATGTTTGGAATGGCGGTGGGAACAACAGAAACGGAGGGAACACCGGGAATGGCAGGAATGGTGGTGGGAACATGGGGAACGTTGGGAATGGCGATGGGAAGAGTGGGAAGGTTGGGAATGGCAGTGGGAACACCAGGAATGGCGGGAATGGTGGTGGGAAGACTGGGAGTGGTGGGAATGGTGGTGGGAAGACTGGGAGTGGTGGGAATGGTGGTGGGAAGACTGGGAGTGGTGGGAATGGTGGTGGGAACACGGGGAACGTTCGGAATGGCGCTGGGAGCACCAGGAAGGTCGGGAATGGCGGTGGGAACACCAGGAAAGGTGGGAATGGTGGTGGGAACACCGGGAGTGGTGGGAATGGTGGTGGGAAGACTGGGAGTGGTGGGAATGGTGGTGGGAACACTGGGAGTGGCGGGAATGGTGGTGGGAACACTGGGAATGGCAGGAATGGTGGTGGGAACACGGGGAACGTTGGGAATGGCGGTGGGAAGACTGGGAAGGTTGGGAATGGCAGTGGGACCAGCGGGAATGCGGGGAATGGTGCTGGGAATGGCGGGAATGGTGGTGGGAGCACCAGGAAGGTTGGGAATGGTGGTGGGAACACGGGGAACGTTCGGAATGGCGGTGGGAGCACCGGGAAGGTTGGGAATGGCGGTGGGACCAGCGGGAATGTGGGGAACGGCGCTGGAATGTCGGGAATGCCGGAATGCCCCACCTGTCCGTGGTGGCGGGCGAAGAGGCGCAGGCTGGGCCGGGGCCAGGGCGTGGCCGGGCAGAAGCTGCAGAGCTGGGCCTCCAACGGCCTCCACTGGGCACAGCCCGTCAGCCCCTCAAACGCCTCCAGGGCAGCCTCCTCCCAGTCGTTCCCTGCCCGAGAACACCGCGATCACACCGGGACAACACCGGGAGAACACCGGGAGAACACCGGGAGAATGGCAGGATAACACTGGGAGAACGCTGGGAGAACGCTGGGATAACACTGGGATAACACTGGGAGAACACCGGGATAACACTGGGAGAACACCGGGATAACACCAGGAGAACACCGGGATAACACTGGGATAACACCAGGATAATGCTGGGATAACACTGGGAGAATGGTAGGAGAATGCTGGGATAACACTGGGATAACGCCGGGATAACACCGGGATAACACTGGGATAACGCCGGGAGAATGGCGGGAGAATGTTGGGATAACACCGGGATAACACCGGGAGAATGGTGGGATAACACCAGGAGAACACCAGGAGAACACCGGGAGAATGGCAGGAGAACACTGGGAGAACACTGGGAGAACGGTGGGAGAACATGGGGAGAATGGTGGGATAACACCGGGAGAACACCAGGATAACGCTGGGATAACACTGGGAGAATGGCAGGAGAATGCTGAGATAACACTGGGATAACACCGGGATAACACTGGGATAACGCCGGGAGAATGGTGGGATAACACCAGGAGAACACCGGGATAACACCAGGATAATGCCAGGAGAACACCGGGATAACACAGGGATAACGTTGGGAGAACACTGGGATAACACTGGGATAATGCCAGAAGAACACTGGGATAACGCTGGGAGAACACCGGGAGAACACTGGGATAACACTGGGATAACATTGGGAGAACACTGGGATAACACTGGGATAATGCCAGAAGAACACTGGGATAATGCCGGGATAACACCGGGAGAGCACTGGGAGAACACCAGGATAACACCGGGAGAACGCCAGGAGAACACTGGGATAACACTGGGATAACGTTGGGAGAACACTGGGATAACACTGGGATAATGCCAGAAGAACACTGGGATAACGCCGGGATAACACTGGGATAGCACCAGGAGAACACGGGGATAACGCTGGGACAACACCGGGAGAACGCTGGAAGAACACCGGGAGAACGCCCGGAGAACACTGGGAAAACACCAGGATCACACTGGGATAACACCAGGATCACATCAGGATCACGCCAGGATCACACCAGGAGAGCGCCCGGAGAACACTGGGATAACACTGGGATAATGACGA